TCTTAAAGTTTATTGATTCTTTGCTCTGTCATCTCCATTCTCCTGTTGAGTCCAGTGAGTATTCTGTTTTGGTTATTATATTTTTCAGTTCTAAAATTTCCATTTGGCTCTTTATATCTTTTTTTTGCGATACTTCTGTTTCAAGTGTTTGCAATTTCTCATTGTAGCATTTTTATAATAGCTGCTTTAAAGTCTTTGTCAGATAATTCTAACATCTGTGTCATCTTATCATAAGTGTTTTGTGATTATCTTTTCCCACGATAATTGAGATTTTCACATATTCTTTGTATGCCAAGTAATTTTGGATTATATGCTGGACATTTTGAATATTATGTTGAGACACTGGTCTTATTTAATTCCATGGAGAATGTTCATATTTTCACTTTAGCAGGCATTTGACCTGGTTAGATACAGGCTGCAGGTTCCAACCAAACTGAGGTTCCAGTGTCGGTTCAGTTTTCAAAACTTTTGTGCTACTTCTTGAATCTGTTCTGTGTGTGCACCAACTCCTGGTCAGCCTGGGTGGAAGTATAGCCATTAGCTCAGTTCTCAAAGTCTGTCATATGCTAATTAGGACCAGATCCATGCATGCATACATGCACAGATTGGGGTTGAGCCCAGGAGTTGATATACAGCTTTATGGGGTCACTTTTCTGAGCTTCTCTCTCCCTGACACTTTCTCATTCCCTGGGCCCACTTCTTTGGTCCTCTGGCCAGAAACCACTTACTGGAATTGTGCTACAGTGGTGGGAAGGCAAAGGCAGAAGAAGAAACAGGGTTTGATCCCATCACCAAATGGAGAGGAAGGGTTCTCTTCCTCAGAATTTTGTCTCTTGCATTGTTCTGTTGCCAGCTGCTTTTGCTGGCACTGTGGAATTGTCTCAGGCTATGAAAGAATGGAGAAAAGGGAGAGAGAAAAGAAACCAGGAGATTTCTTCCACTCTCTGTGAGCTTTAGGAGTGCCTTTTTCCACTGCTTGAGCCAGAACTAAATAGTTTCTTCTGTATCTCTCTGTTCAGCACCAGCAGTGCTCATTTTTGGGTTTCATCCTGAATTGGGTTCAGGCCAGGATACCAGAGAGGAAAAGAAACAGCAAACTCATCGCCAGTTCAGTGGTACTTTGAATTTTGGTGTTCTCCCCTGCTCCTTTTTCTGATACTTGCTTTACAGAGACCTCAGATAGCTGTGCCGTGCATTCTGTCCAGATATTAAAGTTTCGTTGAGTGGGAGAGAAACATTGATGTGTGTTTAGTGCATCTTACCCCAGACTGGAAACAATAAAAGGCTTTTGCATGATGTTTTATTGCTATGTATTTTACTTTTCCCAAATGATTTCTAAAAACTGCTTTAGGAATAGTCCTACATAAAATACAGTACTAGATCATTATAATTATTAAAGAATTATAGCCCACAGGAATAAATCACTAGAGAGATATATGTCTGCCTTTTTCATAACAGAAGGAGTAAAGATTTCATACCTTCGTTTTGACATAGTCTAAAATCTGGTACAGTAGATTCCTGTACTGAGGAGACTTGAAAGGCCTGGGAAGTGAGCACATACTCATAGTGTCTGAAATGTTAGTAGAGCTTGATCAGGTGGTGGCATCAGGTGGAAGTGGCAGTGTCTTTGGAAGCTCACTGAAAAGGATTGTCTTCAAGAAACGGTAGTAAGTTAAGACTTTGAAGTTCTTGGAAGCATAAAGGACACTATTGTTTTGAGGTTGTCTTCTCAATTCTTCTGTAGAGTTTCTTAAAGATTTCAAAGCCAGTTTCTTAAATAATAGTTGTTCAATTTATTCAGTTTCAAAAACTCTTAATATTAAAATTTACCAGTAAAAGTTTTAAGAGGTAATGGTACTGCTTTCCCATTTAACTGAATTACTAAGTAAGCAACATATTAAAGATAATGTTGAAAAGGTACTTGGGTATTCCAGCTTTTCATGATAGAGCTAATTCTTGGATTTTTCCTATTTCATATTTGTCTAGTGCTGCACATGAAACAATTAATGTTAGTTTCGATTTACACCCCATGATGTGTAACAGTAGAGAAACATGTTGCAGTTTGTAAACCGTTAGTTTTCACATGTTTGTGAGGAGGATAAAAATAAATTATTGACTGAACAGAAGATGCTCATAGTTGTAACTCACAAACAATGTAAAAATTTCCTTATGGCAAAAGTTATGTTCAGTGAGCATTAGGACATTTATTTTTCCTAGCTCATTTTATAATAATAGCTGCTTCTGTTTGCATGAAAGTATAGAGGACTCAGTTCAGAAAACAAGATAGGGGCTGGCCTGGTGGCGCAGTAGTTAAGTTCACATGTTCTGCTTCTCAGCGTCTGGGGGTTCACTGGTTTGGATCCCAGGTGCGGACCTACATGCTGCTTGTCAAGCCATGCTGTTGCACGCATCCTACATAAAAAGTAGAGGAAGATGGGCACGGATGTTAACTCTGGGCCAGTCTTCCTCAGCAAAAAGAGGATTGGCAGCAGATGTTAGCTCAAGGCTAGTCTTCCTCAGAAAAAAAAGAAAAGATAACGTTTTTGTTTTATTTCTAAGAATTTCTTCTGTTTTCTTTATGTTTTACATAAACTTCATTAATAGAGGATTCTAGATTCCTTAAAGATTGACAGCTTGTAACTCTACTTATCACAAAATTTTGATAATTATAAGTAAGTTCAGTTACCAAATATGTGGTCAAAGAATTAATATTGATTATGAGCAAACCATTTTGCTGAGAATATATTTTCGTGTGCCTAATTAACAAACTGATTTTGGGATCACCAAAGAATGCAAGAGAATTAGGGTCTACACTCTATTTTTGGTAAATTTTCTCAGCCCTAACCCTCCATGGCTTTAACATTTCAGGTAATTACCTATCTTCATCCTTGACTGCAAGTAAGGCAGTTTAGGTGAAGTCAGTAAACGTTTATGAAAAACCTCCTATGTGCCAGCTGCTAATACCAGAATTCAAAACAAAACTAAGCCTGCATTTTCTCTTTGAGGGCGACACATGGAAATAAATAAGTGCTATTTATTAAGTGTGAAATAAATGCTATTCAGAGTTCTGTAGGAGATATAATGGGAGCAGGAAAGATAAGGGTGAATAGACGAATTGCTAATTTAGATTTTACAGAGGACAAATGTGGTAGGAAATCAGAGGAAGTTCTGTGAGGAATCGAATAATCAGGGAAGACTTGAGTATGTTGGGGGAGAGGAAATTTGAAAAAAATTGGGTGGGGAGTTTGGGGTGGCCACTGGAAAAGGTATACAATTTAGCTGTATCTGTTTGAAGAGAGAATCAGTTCCATGCAAAACTTTGGGATGGGGTCAGAAAATCAGGAGCAGTGGTTGAAATAGAAATTAGAGATTGGGCTGGCCTGGTGGGGCAGTGGTTAAGTTCACACGTTCTGCTTCAGTGGCCCGGGGTTCACCAGTTTGGATCCCAGGTGCAGACATGGCACTGCTTGGCAAACCATGCTGTGGCAGGCGTCCCACAAATAAAGTAGAGAAAGATGGGCATGGATGTTAGCTCAGGGCCAGTCTTCCTGAGCAAAAAGAGGAGTGGTGGCAGCAGATGTTAGTTCAGGGCTAACCTTCCTCAAAAAAAAGAAAGAGAAAGAAATTAGGAAGTCCTTAAAAGTTTTTGAGGAAGCTTTTGACATGAGAGTGATGTTCAAGAAAAATTGTCTGAAAATAGGTTGGGTTAAGAAGGCCCTGTAGTTATTAAGCTTCTATAATCAGGCATTTAATCTAATCTAGCCTATTCAGATTTCAGGGTATTTAAATCACAGATTGAATGAAGCATTAAAAGATCTGAGATTTAAAGTTTAATTTTATTTAAATTGAAAGTGAACCTCCCTGCCTTTTTTTTTAAGCTTAGTTTTTCTGCTAGTCTTTTTTTTTTTTTTTTTTTTTTGGTGAGGAAGATTTGTCCTGAGCTAACCTCCATTTGCCAATCTTCCTCTTTTTTTGCTTAAGGAAGATTGCCAGTCTTGGTGCCGGCCCCGTGGCTGAGTGGTTAAGTTCACGTGCTCTGCTTTGGAGGCCCAGGGTTTCACCAGTTTGGATCCTGGGCGTGGACATGGCACCACTCGTCAAGTCATGCTGAGGCGGCATCCCACATGCCACAACTAGAAGGACCCACAACTAAAAATATACAACTGTTTACAGGGGGGCTTTGGGGAAAAAAAGAAAAAAAAATCTTAAAAAAAAAAGATTGCCAATCTTCCTCTCTTTTGTACGTGAGATACATCCACAGCATGGCTGATGAGTGGAGCAGGTCTGCATCTGGGATCCAAAACCCATGAACCCAGGCCACCAGAGTGGAGCACGCAGAACCTTAACCACTCGGCCACGGGTCCAGCCCCAAGTTGTCATTTTTAAACGATTTTATTGGACATAATTAACATACCATAGAAATCACTCATTTGAAATACACAATTCACTGGCTTTTAGTATATTCACAGAGTTGTGCAACCATCACCACAGTCTAATTTTAGAACATCTTCATTCCCCCTGAAAGAAACCTCATCCCCCTTAGCAGTTATCTCCATTCTCCTTTGTCTCCCTTTCTTCCCCTAGTCCTAGGCAACTACTAATCTATTTTCTGTCTCTGTAGATTTGCCTATTCTAGATACTTCATATTAATGGAACCATATAATGTGGATCACAGTTATAGTTACATTGTCTATATTTTATGTTCATATGAAAATTATGGTTTGGAGTTTTGATCCCCATTCCAGTCCTGGTATATACCATATCTACACTTACGTAGTAGGTCCTATCCCAAAGAAGTTGCGTTGGAGAAGAATAGGTAAGGGTTACCTCCTTTCTTCTGAATTACTCATTGTGATTCTGTACTTCGTTTCCTATTTCATGTATAACCCAAAAGTTGAACCACAAGAGTGGTTATGTATTCAAAAATTATATATATTTACCATAGGATTTACCATGTAGTATAATATTTTAATTAACTATAAGGACGTCTTTGTTTATAGTATATTCAACAGAACATAAGAGCAGATTGTTCCAATATTGACAAAATTCTTGAACCACCTGAAGGCCAAGATGAAGGTGTATGGAAGTATGAACATTTAAGGTAGGTCCTTATGATATATCAAAATAGTTATAGTACTTCTATTAGTGAAAATAACCTTTCATATTAATCATGATTATGAATCATAAATAAAATCATTATGTAAGTGCAGACAAGAAAGCCAAATTCTAAAGCTTTAGTGTTTTCAGTGTTATAAAATGTTCCACTTTATTTGCTGATTATTTTCTATAGTTATAGATTTGGGCCTTACTATCTTTTTACACAGTTTTCCTTAGTCATATCCTTTAACCACTCCTTTAACCACAAATGCATTATTTCCATTTACCCACTCGAATAAATTTATTTCTCTGTAGAGGATCATATCAAGGTCCTAGTCTAGGTGTGGTATCTGATGAATTACCTATTAACTACTGTGAGCTTCCAGTCTTCTCTTTGGTAAATAGAGATTAATTGTAATCTTGAAGTAAGGAGTTTTGGAGCTTTTCATAATATCCTTTGAATGAGAAAATTGATGACCAGTGAATGACTAGTTAACTAGGCTTAACTTTAGAAGCAGCTATGTCCTAAAATTACTCCGTTGTTTCTTGAAGTTATAAACTTTAAAGTGTAAATGGGAGCTGGGAAGAGTTGATCAGGTAAATAGAATGCAATGTGAGATATATGTTCTTCAGGGTTTGTTACTTTTGAGTGGATTTTTAAATAATAACTGGAGTAGAAATATGACTTTTCCTGAATAAATTAGACCACGTTTCCTGTGATGAATGCCTCAACTTGTAGGCAAGGCACTTTTTGTGTGTGTTATGCTGCAGGCTTGTCTACATATTGCTAAGACATATTGTCTTGTCATAACAGTTCACCAGTTTCAGGATGCTAAGACTTCTTTGTACCTGCCAGTTTCTTGGACAAATCACTTGACTACTTGATCTAGTTTTTTTAAATACATCTCAAAGCATGATAATTAAAAGTATAAGTATGTAGATATTTTCCCTTTCTTATAAGATAGAGAGCACTTCAGTATAATATATCGTTTGCCTTATTTTGATCAGCTTTGATAATACTACTTATCTGGTGGGATTAGTGATGAAAATTAGTGAGGATTTTTCTTTTTTACTACAAGCATAATTTCTAGCAAGTGAGGGCTGATTTTTGTTTACAAGGTAATTATTTCAGGTCCAAGAGAAACTTTTCTTCCCTATTTAACTTAGACTATGAAATATGCATTATACAAAACTTAGAAAATCTTTCTCATGCATATTCCATTTGTCCTGGTGCTGTTTTTACTTTTGTTATTTTTTTCTGAATATTAGCCACGTTTTTTGGTTTTATATTTATGTATTATACATCATATATATATTCTTTTGTCTCTTTATCATAGTGTATACATCTTAATAGTTGACCAAGAAGAATTTCAAACGTAGCCTTTTGATTTTTTGCATGTGCTTGATGTTATTGATTTGAGGTTTAATACTTGCTGATATTGGTTACTGTCGTTGATTATGTTATGATGTTGTTGGGAACTGGGTCATGACTTCAGTCAGATCTCCCTCTGGTCCATACTGAATCTTTGTAATTAGGAGAAGATGCCCCTTCTCTGAGTGGATGCAGTCGCATGCCAGGATGCATGGCTTAGTGTCTAGAGTGTAGGCTGGATTTCACGTCTGGCTTGTCTCATCAGCTGCACAACTATGTGTGTTAGCCCTGTATTGAATTAACTTGAAGCTTGAATTAACTTGAATAGGATTGCACTATCTGCCACAGATTTTACCCATAATATTGCCAAATCAGTTGGCGTAATTTTGCTGTTGGCTGTAAGTGGGTTGGACTAGATGAGAAACTTGTTTAGCCCCACTTGTCTTTAGTGGAAAACAAGGAAAAACCATAACATGTAGTCTACAGATATGGGGCAGTGAGGGTGATGTGGTGATTCAGAAATGGTGTTATTTTTGTCATCTAAGAACAGCATTATTAGGCATCTGGAAAGGAACTAAAATTATGAACAACTGAAAATTTGACCCTTTTTATTTGTTGCCTTCTATTATAGTGTACTTTAAATAAATAAGTATAATTTTTCTTTCATATATGTGCAGATTTTTTTTTCCTTTTGGGATTTTCTTTTATCTTCTAATTGTGTAAGCTTTAGCTTTGCATTTTTAGGGAACCAAAGTGTTCTCATTTGTTTGACGGGGAAACATTGTAGTGATTAATTTGATAGGATTTTTAAGGGGAATGTGTTGAGTATTTTGACAGCTATAAAGTAAGTTATCTTTATGACATAGAGGATTAATTGCCTTTTCATATCAAATACGGAGTTTGTCTAAAAATGATGATCTCAATGTCATGTAATTTACTCCATTCTTCATTTATTCAAAAATATTTTTTGAGCACTTACTATGTTCCAAGCATTGTTCTACGCTTTGTAATTCTCAGTTTGGCAATTTTAGGAGGAAAGTGTATCATGAAAAAATGCCCAAGATTTATTAAGTGACAAGAAAGCAAATTACAAAACTGTGTATGTTATGATCCCAGTGTATTTTAATCATGGAAAATCAAATTGGCATGTAAACGATAATTATCTTTTAGAAGAAGTGGTGAAATTATGGAGGACTTTCCTCTTCTACATTATGTATTTGGTCATGTTTGCAGTTTTTATAATGAGCGTGTCGTTTGTAATCAGAATAAAACTTGTAAAATACATGGGAGTATAAAACATCTACTTTTTTTTCTTTGTATCTGTTTGTATATAGATATATACACACAATTTTTTATAACTGGAATCTTACTATGAATATAAACATATATCCTTTCTATGTTTGTGTATATACCATTTTACTACTCTCCAATTGCTAATCATTTAGAATGTTTCAAAAAAATTTTTTATGTATGTGTAGTCTTGTGAACATCTTTGTACATGGTATATCTGCCTGCAGTTCTGATTATTTCATTAGAATAGGTTCTTAGGAGAATGACTTAGTTAAAAAATATACACTTCCTAAGCATCTTGGTAAATACTTCCAAATTACTTCTTAGATACATTGTACCAATTTCCAGTGTATAAGAGTGATCGATTCACTGAACTCTGATGTTGAACATTATTAAGGTCGTTTAGTTTTGGGTTTTGTTTCGTTTAGTTTTGAGTTTTGTTTATTAATCTGTATGTCTTTGTAAGAAATGTGCTATGTAAATTCAGGTGGTGTGGATCACAGTGTTGAGGGAGGAAGGATGGTACTGATGGGATTCTGTTTTTACCATTAATATTCTAAAAATAATGTGGAGAATAAATAAGACTTTTCTTTTATGTATTTACATTTTTAGGCAATTCTGTCTTGAGCTAAATGGACTTGCTGTCAAACTTCAGGTAATAGTTTCTTTAAAGCTATAATTGAAAGTTCTGGCTTTTTTTTCTGTTTTTGTAACTTAATGTGCTTACAAAGACTTGCCCAGGATTTCTAATTATTGTAGACTTTTACATGGAAATGTAATAATCCAAATAAGCGTTTTCATTATTATTTTACATATTAAGAAATGTAACTATTTTTAACAGAGTGAATGCCATCCAGATACATGTACTCAGATGACAGCAACTGAACAATGGATTTTTCTTTGTGCAGCTCATAAAACTCCAAAAGAGGTGAGAATTTATGAAATAGAATGACTAATAAATTTATCATGACCTAAGTTTCTCCAAGACAGTGGTAGACAAATTTTTAGAGTTTCTACTTCACTGTTTATTTTGCCGTTTGTTTTTTTTGTGTTTTTTTCCCTAAAGATTGGCACCTGGGCTAACAACTGTTGCCAGTCTTTTTTTTTTTCATTCTGCTTTATCTCCCCAAACCCCCCCTGTACACAGTTGTATATCTTAGTTGCACGTCCTTCTAGTTGTGGGATGTGGGATGCCGCCTCAACGTGGCCTGACGAGCGGTTCCCTGTCCGCACCCAGGATCCGAACCCTGGGCCGCCACAGCAGAGCGTGCGAACTTAACCACTCAGCCACGGAACCGGCCCCTGCCATTTGATTTACAATTTTTTGCTGCAAAGTTATTGCCACAGTGCTATTTTAGGATTTCTTATGATTAATATCATTTTTCATAATTGAGCAATTGCATGGGCTACAACTTACTGGCTATCACAGAATAGCATCTGTCACATCATGCTGATATCTAATGTGTAATGGATGAGATATAACCTGTTTAAATTTTTGGTTCAGTCATAATTTCTTTTGATAGGAATGACTGTTGGTGATTACTAGTTGATACTTAGTCTATTAAGTAGAAATGTTGCTTTTGATCTTTTTAACTTTATAGGTTATTTTCTCTCTACATTTCATTAATATTTCTTACTATTTATTTGAAACGCACCATAATGATTTTCCTCTCCATAACTGGTCCTATATTGAAAAAGTTATTCATGTTGTTTTCTCCTCATTTAGTTTTTGTCAAGGTGAGAGTATAGGAAGTAGCAGGTGTTTATAAAACGTTTTTTGTTTTAAATAATTCCTTCATATTATCTGATACCCTGTACATTTTCATTTTTCCTTAGTTATTTCAGAAATGTCCATCACAACTGGTTTGTTTAAATTATGTGTTAACATTTCCCTTGATGTTCATTCCCTCTTAATCTATAGTAATTACTTTTTACTTGACATTGACTCATTGAAAATAATTGGGTTAGGCCAGTACTTTAGAATTATAGACCTTCAAATGATCATTGTATTGACAGCCCTCTAAGGCTTGAAGACAAGTGACTCTTTAGTTGAAAAATTAACATCTGAGGTTCTTTTGTTTGCAAAAGGTAAATTCTCCAAAATAAGGAGTGTCTGGTACCACTCTAAGCAAGTAGTACGTATTTGCAAGAGAGATTTCATTCAGGGTGTTACTTTTTTGTGTTACTAAATTGAAGCAATATTAAGATTGTGTTTCATTCTACATCTGGGAAAATCCTAGCAGTTTTCATTGATAATTCACTGAAATTGGCTACGTAGTATAGCGTGATGTGATCATTGCAATTAGGAAACTGAATCAAGGTCAGTTTCATTTTGGCAAATAGTAAAGATGCATTATTCTCACATTAGAGTAGAAAAGCTATCCAGTTTGTAATGTATTATGAGATTTATGTATACTGTCATTGTCATATCCACTGTTTTCTTTGATTAATATTAAGTGAAAAATAGGATGATCATCAGCATTAGGTCCCGTGAATGATTCTTAAAATTGCAACATTGCTTGCTGAAAACTGGCTCCATTGAATTGTCCAAGTGCCAAGGGAGGATGATAGTAGAATTTGTAAGCAGTAGTTAAATGGAATGGGATTACTATAAAAATATCAGCAAAAGAGAATCTTGAAAGGACACTTTTTGAATTCTTTTGTGCAGTCAGGAAATAATAGCAACTGATAGTTTAGGCACTAAGAAAGTTGCTCTTATGAATTAAAAGCACTGGGCAGATTCTGAAGTGGAAGAGGCAGGGTACTCAGCACTGGTGATGATTTATTCAGTGTCCTTGGGAATTAAAGAGGCATCGCAGCAAATAGACTTAATTGTACAAATAGTGATTGTAAGTGACAAAGGTTATAAGTTGTCACTATCTGTTAACCCTTTCATTCACATGGAGGTTGTGGTCACTTGTAGCTTTATGAATATATGTTTGGCAAAATATAATTTATAAAAATTTGTATACATTACTGCCTATTTTGTAATCTACTATATTTTTCCAACTTTTTGATGTTACCAATGATGTAGAGTAGGATTAGGTAACTGAGAATTAATTGGGAGGAGGTGGAGGGAAGCAGCTAAAACAAGGCAAAACTCTTCCCAACTCCAAAAAAAAATCCAGAAATCAGTTAAAGATCTACACTTACACTGTCTGATACAGTAGTAGCCATGAACTGCATGTGGCTGTGGAGCACTTAATGTGAGTAGTCTAAATTGAGATGTACTCTAAATGTAACGTACATACCAATTCAAAGACTTAGTACAAAAAAACAATGTAAAATATCTCATTGAGAGGTAACTGAGCGGGGGGCCGGCCCAGTGGTGTAGTGGTTAAGTTCACACACTCTACTTCGGTGGCCTGGGGTTTGCAGGTTTGGGCCCTGGGCGCGGACCCACATACTGCTCATTGAGCCATGCTGCGGCAGTGTCCCACATATGAAATAGAGGAAGATTGGCATGGATGTTAGCTCAGGGACAGTCTTCCTCAAGCAAAAAGAGGAGGATTGGGAACAGATGTTAGCTCAGGCCCAATCTTCCTCACAAACAAGCAAACAAAAACAAACCTGGATATCTACATACAAAAGAATGAAGTTAGACCCCCCTCTCTCACACCATATACAAAAATTAGATCAAAATTGGGGCGACCTGGTGGCGTAGTGGTTAAGTTCATGTGCTCTGCTTTGGTGGCCCAGGGTTTGCAGGTTCAGACCCTGGGCACGGACCTGTGCACCTCTCGTCAAGCCATGCTGTGGTGACATCCCACATAGAAGAACTAGAAGGACTTACAACTAGGATATACAACTACGTACTGGGGCTTTGGGGAGGAAAAAACAAAAAGGAAGATTGGCAACAGATGTTAGCTCAGGGCCAATCTTCCTCACCAAAAGAAAAAAGCATAAGAAAAATTAGATTAACATGGATCAAAGACCTATATGTATCAGCTAAAATTATAAAACTCTTAGAAAAATACATAGGTATAAATCTTCATGACCTTGGACTAGGTGGTGATTTGTTAGATATGACACCAAAAGCACGAGCAATGGAAGAAAATATAGATAAATCAGATTTCATCAAAATTTAAAAAATTTTTTTGCTTCAAAAGACACTGTCAAGAAAGTGAAAAGACAACCCACAGAATGGGAGAAAATACTTTTGCAAATCATATGTCTGATAAGGTCTAGTATCCAGAATACATGAAGAACTATTACAACTCAACAATTAAAAGAAAACCCAAATAAAAATGAGCAAAGGATTTGAGTAGGCATTTCTCTAAAGAAGTTACACAGATGGCCAATAAACACATGAGAAGATGCTCAACATCATTAGTCATTAGGGAAATGCATATAAAAACCACGATGAGAATGGATAAACAAAATGTGGTATATACATACAATGGAATATTATTCAGCCTTAAATGGGAATGATATTCTGATCCATGCTGCAACATGGATGAACCTTGAGGACATGCTGAGTGAAATAAGTCAGATACAAAAGGACAGATATTGTATGATTCTACTTATGTGAAATATCTAGAAAAGGCAAAGTTATAGAGACAGCTAGATTAGAGGTTGCCAGGGAGTAGCGAGTGGAGGGCATGGGAAGTTATTGCTTAAGGGTTATAGAGTTTCTCTTTGGGATGATGAAAAACCTTTGGTTAGAAACAGGTAGTGGTGATGGTTGCACAACAGTGAATGTAGTTAAGGCCGCTGAATTGAACTTTAAAAATGGTTAAAATGGCAAATTTTATCTATTTTACCACAATTTTTTTAAATGGAAAAGAAAGAGACACCTCACAATGGCCTACACTTCACACAGTAGCATGACTAAAATATAAAAGACAGATAATAACAAGTGTTGGCCAGGATGTGCAGAACTCTCATACAGTGCTGGTGGCATTGTAAAATACTGTTGCCGCTTTGGAAAACAGTTTGGAAGTTCCTCAAAATAGTAAGCATAGAGTTACCATATGACTTAGTGATTCCACTCCCACGTTTCTACCCAAAAGAAATGAAAACATATGTCTGCACAAAACTTGCACACTAAAGCTTACAGTCACATTATTCATAATAGCCAAAAATGCAAACAGCCAAATTTCCATCAACTGATGAGTAAATAAACAAAATGTGGTATATGCATACAATGGAATATTAGTCAGCCATAGAAAAGAATGAAGGCTATAGAGCAAGAAACATATTTTACAGAATTTTGTATAAAAAACATTGTCTAGGGGCTGGCCTGGTGGTGCAGCAGTTAAGTTCACACGTTCTGCTTCTCAGCGGCCCAGGGTTCGCCAGTTTGGATCCCGGGTGTGGATGTGGCACTGCTTGGCAAAAGCCATGCTGTGGAGGCATCGCACGTATAAAGTAGAGGAAGATGGGCATGGATGTTAGCTCAGGGCTGGTCTTCCTCAGCAAAAAGAGGAGGATTGGCAGTAGTTTAGCTCAGGACTAATCTTCCTAAAAAAAAAAAAATTGTCTAAAAATGTTTTGAATCAGGAAAAAAAGTCATGAGGTACTGATTCATGCTGCACTATGGATGAGCCTTGAAAACATGCTAAGTGACACAGAAGGCCACATGTTATTCCATTTTTAGGAAATATCCAGAATAGGCAAATTCATACAAGACAGAAAGTAGTTTAGTTGTTGCTTAGGGTAACAGGAGAGCATGAGAAGCGACTGCTAATTGGTACTGGATTTTCTTTTGGAATAATAAAAATGTTCTTGAATATAGTTATGATGGTTGCACAGTTTTGTGAATATACTGAAAACTATTGAATAGTACACTTGAAAAGAGAAATTTTGTGGTATGTGAATTATATCTTAATTTAAAAATACCCTAAAACTTTAATTTTTATATCAATTATATGTTGAAATGATCATTTTGGCTATGTAGAGTTAAATAAAATATATCACTACAGTTAATTTTACTTGTTTCTTTTTAGTTTCTTAATGTGGATACTAGAAAATTTAAAATTAAATGTATGGCTTGCATTATATTTCCGTTGGACAGTACTGATATAAAGGTTGTAAAACTGTCCCATGGTACACCCAAATGACCAATATGAGAAACAGTGATTTGGGATATTTGTTTTTGACCAGATGACCTGTAGTCATATATATGGAGAAAGATAATTTTTTCAATAAATACTGCTCATGGTACTGTTTTAGGCATTGAGTCCAATAACCATAAATTCCCATGGATATATAGTTAGAAAAATACTTTTTTTGTTGTTTAGATAATCTTTCTCTATTTGCCATGGCACTATGCTAAGCCACATTTAGTAGTTATTAATTTACATTTCTAAATACCACCTTCAATCTCAACTTGAAAAATACTCTAGTTACTGAGTAGAGCTGGAGTCCTTGATTCCTTTCTCTAGTTCATTTTTTCCTTCTAGTTCATTCCCTGGTTCATTCTCAATTCTCTTTACTTTGATGCTTCTCCCTGTCTGCCCTCAGATGAACTAAATGAGGAGAATAACTTTGCAGTTTTATTTTTTCTTTGATAATGATTTGCCATGAGACAGTAAGTGTCATTGTTTCTGATATGGAATAGGATAAGACAGGTTTATTAAAGTATAAAGAAACTTCAGATTTCATGTTAAATTTCAAAGGAGGTTCAAGGAGAAAATTCGTTAGAGAGCTGCTAGATTGGTAACAGTGCCAAGGACATAATAAGGGATGCTTTCTAGGATGCAAAGAGGCAGTGAGCCCTGGAGGTATTTGAGAAGAGGGAGGATTCTGGGCTACTTGGTAAAGTATAAATCGGAGTAGGAATCAGCACATCTGGGTGGTTTTCTGAGTCCTTCTTCCTAACTCTCTATCTTGATTAAGTCATTGACTATCAGTCAAGGGTCGTCCCTGCTGCTGCGCGCCGCTCTCCAGGGCTCCCTCTCATGCTTTAGAGTCGGGATGTGCACGCTCGCTTACTTGAATCTCCGTGATAGAATCAGCCTTCTCTTAGACGGCGTGCCTCAAGAGCAGACTTTCCTAAGTTGGGCTGCTTGTTTTTGAAGGATTCCTTATCCTTGCCTGCAGATTTTTAAGTTTGGGCAAGAAGCCTATGTGTATACTCTACAATCTAGCAACCTCAGTTTCCTCATTTGTGAAGTCAGAGGTTAGATTAGATAATGAGGGGTTCTTCCCAGCTCTGAAAGTTGTTTTCTTCTAGGTACGATGTTGAGAGTAAGAAGTTGGTAGACTGATTCATGTACCTTCTAGAAGCCTGATATTGCAGTTCATGGGGATAATAAAGTCTTATTTATTGACCTAAGATTGAATTTTACAATCATTCTGATATTGGAAAGGACTTTTTTCTTAGAATATGCTCAGGTTTTTGGAATAAGATGCCTATATAATAAATATGCCTAATCTAAGAAGTAGAGCTCTTTATCGATGCATTTTTATCTGCTTTCTTTTCTAGTGTCCTGCTATAGACTATACTAGACACACACTCGATGGTGCTGCATGCCTTCTGAATAGCAATAAATATTTTCCCAGCAGGTAAACAAAACTTAAACATGATGTTCAACTTTTTGGATTTAATTTAAAAGATTGATGTTTTTAAAAGTTAAACTAGGTTTCTGGTTAATGCATTGTATTCTTTATACTTTTTTTTTCTTTTTTCAGCTCTTGTATATTTGGCTTGTTCAATATTATTCAAGTTTTGAAATTAGGGTTGTGGTTAAACTAAAGGCAGCAGGACTTGGCTCCCAGAGTTCATAGGCCAGTTCAGTCAAGGGTCGTCCCTGCTGCTGCGCGCCACTGTCCAGGGCTCCCTCTCATGCTTTAGAGTCGGGATGTGCACGCGCTCGCTTACTTGAATCTCCGTGATAGAATCAGCCTGCTCTTAGACGGCGTGCCTCAAGAGCAGACTTTCCTAAGTTGGGCTGCTTGTTTTTGAAGGATTCCTTATCCTTGCCTGCAGATTTTTAAGATCTGGGAAGAAGCCTGTGCATACTTTAGTATATTATTGGAGAGGTTTGTGACTGGTTTTCTCTTCTATTAAGGTATTTGTTACCAGGTGGATAGATTTGGAGATTTTTTCCCCCCAAATATCATTAACTTCAAAAAGCTTATATAAAATATGTAAAAAAATACTGGGTTTTGCCTTAGTTCCCTATATACATTTTTTTTTAAAAGACCATCAGAAATAAGCAATTTTTATTTCTCAAAAAAAAAAAAGAAGAATCAAGTTCTATAGAAGAAAATAATACTTCCTTTCGGTAGTTTTAATCATCTCTAGCGGACAGAGCATTAATGTTGTAAATGTATGTTTCAGTAAATTTTGATTTATCAGGGATTCGTTTTAATTGCATTAAGCTTTAACAAAGTTTCAAAACCATAATACTGAATTTCTTAGGCCATGTGGCCCAGGAGTAAAGAACAGGCGTTCTAGTCCTGCCCTTGCTACTTACCAGCACTGTGACCTTGGACTGGCCACTTATTTTCCCTAGGCATCAGTTTCCACATTTGTAAATTGAGAAGATTGGGCTGTATTGTTCCTAAGATCTGTCCAGCTCTATGCATCTATGGTTTCTTTTCTATTTCTAGGGTTAGCATAAAGGAATCATCTGTAGCAAAACTAGGATCAGTATGCCGTAGGATTTACAGAATATTTTCACATGCTTACTTTCATCACCGGCAGATATTTGATGAATATGAAGTAAGTATATTTCACTCATTGTCCTGATACATTCTTATCAGAATGACAATGATATGTTGATACTATGTCTAGTTTTTTTGGTTTTGGATAGTAAATTAAAATAACGTTTTTTTCTTCCTCTCTACAGAATGAAACATTTTTGTGTCATCGGTTTACTAAATTTGTGATGAAATATAATTTGATGTCCAAGGATAACCTGATTGTACCAATTTTAGAAGAGGAAGTTCAGAATTCAGTTTCTGGGGAAAGTGAAGCATGATGGGAATCATATAGAAAAAATGTACTGATCACGTAACATTAATTATGTACTGTATATATATCATTTTAGACACATCAATCATGTATCCATATTATAGCTTCTTTGTTTAGTATAGGTTTTGTATGCTGAGTGTTGCCTTTTAAAATGGGGAAATACTTTTTAAGTTATTCATAAACTGTATATTCACCGGTGTGGCACTCATGGTTTTTAAATAAGATTAGTATTATCTGTTTATAATGCCTGTTAATAAAAGAATTTACAGTTTGGTAAAATTGCTGCTAAACAATCATTGGATCACAGTCCTCATCAAATAAACCCATCTGTAAAAAGATGAGTGAGCTTGAGGTTTCGCACAAACCATTTACTAAAGAAATAATAATGTTTTCTTTTGGTTTTACCCCTAAGTTTAGATATTCTAGAAAATTCTGTAGTACGTAGTTCAGTCTTAACTGTTAATTTTTCAGAAATGAGATAAAAATGTTTTAAAATTCTGTTTATAGTTTTTGATATACATATATGCTTATGTGTATATCCAAATATAAATGCATATGAAGCATTAGTAATACTGAAATAATTTTACTGTACTACATAAAGTATATTCTAGACCAGCATACCTGGAAAGGATTTACCTTTCTGCAACAGTGGACTGTTACATACAAGGTGATAAATAATAAGGCATGTAAATGATGTTCCCAGTGGAAACCTGCCCTGTCCTTCCCTTCTCCTCATTTTCCTTAACTCTTCCCCAGACTACATTAGCTGAGAAGCTTTTCACCAGACTGTGATGTAGTGGTGGCTTATACCTATTTATATTTATATTTGTATTGCTTACAGATTATACCTCATATTCACAATTACATTACACTACGGGAAAAATGTATTGGCGTAGGCTTTTGCTTGTCTTTGTCTTGCAAAATTGTTCTAACTACTTGGAAAACAGTCTTTAAAGTAGTTTGGCTCTCCCTGTTAGTAATATTAATCTTTTCATCTAACCATCTAAGCAGCATTTAAATAGAGTTGAAAAATATAGTGTAGTATTTATTTTACACCCCCTCCCATAAAGTTTGTTTAAATTATATGCACATGTGAGATTTTTTGCAATAATTCCCAGGTTCTGAGGATGTTGATTAATGGTCATACATTTTTTGGACTTTGTTATCATTTGGTGTCTTAAGAAGGATTCAACTGCAGATTTTACAATCTTAGAATCTACTGAATGGTATTTTTAACAGCACTGGAGGTCTTATTGCTAAACTGGTTGTAATGAGGCACTAAGATAGGGTAAAAAAATTGTACAGGTAGTGAAAAAATATTTAAATCCATCTCTTGAACAGAGTTAACAAACATGGAGAAATTCTTTTTCATTTAAAAGGGTTATTTTGAAATGAAGATGAAAATATATTCATCTTGATTTTTTTTCAAATTTGAGGAAATAATTTATGCAGTATCATTAGACAAGTATGTACAGCAAAACTGTGGGAAATAGTAGCATACCGAGAGCGTGTATATATATTTCTGCCTTTCCAAGCCTGCCAGTATATTTGGCTTTGAACACTGCTGTTCCAGCAGCCAGTCATTACTTTGCCCCAACTCGTGATTATCTTTTAAGAAGCTTTATGTTCACAGTGAAAGGAATGTTGACTTTAAAATTAGGCATTTATGTTAATGTCACTATAAACCAGTGAAAAAAGTAATTTTTACACAGACTTGCTGAATATTGAGAGACTAAACTACTAAGTTAATAAATTATATATAGCAAAGCAGCTGTTCTCCCTAGGCAGTGTCTCACAGTGGATTTCTGTTGCTTGACTGTTTTCTTAGTGAACATTTGAACTAAGGCAGTGGCTGGGATTGGTAATCTGGCTAAGAAACACATTTTGAATAACATGGTTTGGTGTTCATGGGGAAATAAATATGATTTTTTTCTTTCTCATGCCATCTTACCTGTACTGTGTGTTTGGAATTGATGATAAAAAAAAAATCCCCAAAAGAAAACGTTAGTTTGTAGTAGTCTTGCTTTTGTATTCGTATTGACATCTCATTGTACCATCAAGTTGGCTCACCATACTAAGACCTAAATGAAACAGTACTGTTTTTCCTTAATACTGTTTACAGAATTTTTAAAATATACATGTGTATACCTAAGTGGTATTAAAAAAAATTAAGGAGCTGGCAAACTATTGATTTCTAAAGTCAGCATTCTCAGAAGAGGAGAAGGGAAGACTCAGTTCTGTGCAAGAAGGAAGTTAGTCTCTACTTTTTGTTTGGATTATCCTATATAGATCCAAAAGTTAAAATTTTCTTTCTATAAAATTATTTTGAACATATAGTCAACTCACTCTTTTTCTCCTATCATATCTGGGAAAGTAGCTAACTTTTAATAATTTATGTTCTTGTAAATATAGTTTTTTTGTGTGTGTACATTTTCTTTGACTTGTATTAAATTTGCATTTCTAGAACAGTTTCTCAGTTAAATTCTTAATGAGTTAACATTTTTTTGATATCAGAATAAAATTTAAAATCCAAGATTGCATTCTTAGCAAGGACTGTGTTACAATTTTAAACATGTTTACCAACTGATGTGAAATTCATTGTAATAGAACTAGTTATTTTTTTCTGTGGGTACTTTGTCCTACTCTCTATATGATGACATCTTTTTACCTGAAGGCTCCCTGTAATTTTATTTGCACAGGTAAATTCTACATTTTATATACTTTACTTTTTGAATACTTCTTGAATGTGCTAGAGGTGTCTTGGTGTAGTTCTTCCATGCTGTGCAAATGTTTTAGTAAAAGTAGTTGACTTATTTCTTGAATGTAGCTAATTGTTAACTAAGGAGACACTAAGGATGTCTTAGTACTCATTTAGCAGTTTATTTGAGATGGTCAAAAAAATCCAAATGTTTTCTTTCTTTTTTTGTGAGGAAGATTGGCCCTGAGCTAACATCTGCTGCCAGTCTTTCTCATTTTGCTTGAAGAAGATTGTCACTGAGCTAACATCTTGTGCTAATCTTCCTCCATTTTGTATGGGGTGCCACCACAGTGTGGCCTGATGACCTGGCAGGTCCACACCCAGGATGCATTATTAGTGTAGGGTAGAATATAACAGTAGACAACCAGATAACTGTCAAGAGAATCCACTAGAGGGTTAGATTACTCATCTGAAAAATTTAATTAGGAGCCTCATTCCTAACATTTGGGGATGCATGGATATTTTATGTGGGCTGGGTATCTAATTTCAGTACTCCATTTGTTTGGTTTTTCTATTTACATTTTTTGTAGTACATAAAGCTTCATATCAAGTGTGGGAATCTAATGTAATTAAGCAAATACCATATTTGCAAAAGATAAATACACTTGACGTCCTGAACTTACATCCATGAAGCTAGTCTGTCAATTAAGTGTCTCATTGATTCTAGGATTAGCTACAGCACCAACATTCAAAATTAGTAAAATTCTCATTCATTTTCTTAATGAAATCAGCGTTTTATCCTGATCTGGATTTCTGCTCTAAACCACTTTGGGTAGACCTCATGAGCACCACCTGTATCTTATATAACAATTAGAAATTTTCATTTAAAAATTGTAGTTTGTTGTAGATTATAGGATTTTCTCTGTCCTTTTTTGGTGACGGTGTCAAAGGAACATTCTCATAGAATATGCTTTATGTAAAAGAATTTTGTACATCTCTGTATTTGCTTTTAACGTTTTTGTTTTTCCTTAGTGTCTAGAAGAAAATGTTAGTTTATTTTTTAAAAATGCTTTATACCTAGTTCTGAAAGTAAGAGGCTAAATCAAATGGATGGACAGGATTCTGTCCCTATATTTTCCCCTACTCCCCGTCAGAGGTAGACTGGGGGGAGTCAAAGGAGCGAGGGAACCCCAGAGATGAGGAAACAGTGGGTGTGGTCGTTACTGCACTAGCAAATGAGACACCCACTCCACCCAGTGCCGCTAATTCAGTAAAATCCTTTGACTTTTGAGGGTACACCTCTACTTAGCTGCCCTAAAAAATGTCATTGTGTTTTTAAAACCAAGTATGTATGTATAGAGAGAAATTTTTCTTGCCATGATTTGGGTAATATTTAAACCACTCTTAAAATATTTGGTGCTTTTGGTTTTTTAAATGTCATTTTACAAACAAATGCAGATCTTTGATTCTGATTGTTGTGATACCACATTAGTGACTGTATTAGTTTTCGATGTCTGCTGTAGTAAATTACCACAGACTTAGTGGCTTAAAACAATATGAATTTATTCTCTTCCAGTTCTTGAGGTCTGAAGCTCCATTTTACTGGGCTAAAATTAGGTTCCTGCTTCTCTCTAGAGGCTTGGGGGGAATCTGTTCCTTGCCTCTTTCAGCTGCTCGTGGCCGCATCATTCCAGTTGCTGCCTCCATCATCGCGGCCTTCTCCGGAGGGCTCTCTCCCTCTTGCCTCCCTCTTCTGAGGACACTGTGATGACATCACTGGGCCCACCTGCAGAATCCAGGATCATTTCCACATCTCAAGATCCTCAATCACATGCGCAAAGTCCCTTTGCCGTATAAAGTAACACTCGCAGGCTCTGGGCATTGGGAAGTGGACGTCTTAGGGGCCTCTTTATTCAGCCCGCCATGGCAATCCTCTCAAATTCACAGTATTAATCTCAAGAAGTTCTCCAGACTACAGACTTAATTTTTACTCTGAAAGTGATACTTTTTATTTCTTGCATCTTATCTATTTATGTCTCCCAATCATACATACTTAGTTCAAGTCTTGGAAAAAGTTGAACTTGAGATCATTTTCTGCAGATTACTATATCCTCTTTGTACTGATCCAGCTAAGTTCTTGGTGTGATCTTTTAGTTAATACATAAAACTGATCATTCTGTGGTTCAGAGACCTTGCTTACCAGTTTGTGCAAGAACACACTAGGAGAGATGGAAGAAAATGAGGTGGAGACATGTTTTTCAAGCCTCCTGCATCAAAAAGCAAAGGGAGAGTTTAAAACTAGAGATTCCTGGGCTGCACCTTTGGAAACTGATTTAACTGATTGAGAAGGGGAGGGCCTGAATCTGGGTTTTAAAAGCTTCCCGGGTGATTGTGATGTGCTGCAGTTGGAAACCATCAGGAAATGTAGGAGCTGAGGTGGAAGTTACTCTTCTTTCAAATCACTAAGTAGTCATTGTAGCTGTTCTTTTCTCTGGGGGAGATCACTCTGACAGTAGCAAAAACGCTCACCTGTCAGGTAAGGTCCTAGGGGAGGGAGTGAGTTTGGGCACGCCATCTGCCGCTCCCAGGGGTGCAGAGGAGGGTGAAGGCTGCGTGGGGCAAAATGGGGCAGGAGGCCCCTCAGCTCG